TTCAATTCTAAGGTGGCTTTAAGCTCTAAAAAAAAAGTTTAAGGTTCTGGAACAACATGGTAATGAAATTAAAGTCAATCAATCATGACAAAATGCTTTTACCAACTAGATAATTCACTAATCTGAAGAGATGAGACAGTGTTAATCTTCTAGTCCTCAAAATAAATTTAACAATTCTTTACTTAAACTTTAACAAATTATATATTTTTTTAATTTCACCTCTTCAAGATAGGGCCTCTCATATACTTCTGGCTGTCCTGGAAGTCAATATGTAGACCAGACTGGCCTCAGCTCCACAATTTATATTCTTAATCTATATATAACACAAAATGTATTCTTATTCACATAAGTATCCTGAAGTATAATACTTCGGCCAAGTAATCTATCATTTAATCTATCATTTTAACAACACTCATGATTCTGTTCTCACCCAAGAAAAAAACCATGGTGGGGGGTGATGAACCCAGCAGAGCTAAGAACCAATTACACATGATAACTTTTCCCCTTGGGAAGACGAATTCACAACCTTGTGTGGTGGTTTAATCCCAGAACTCAGGAAGCAGGGGCAAGTGGTTCTCTGAGCTCCAGGACAGTCTGATCTAAACAGCAAATTCCAGGACAACCAGAGTTTACTTAAAGACCCTATCTCAAAAAATAAGCTTGCTCCCAAATTAAACATTATAGCTTTTTTTCTAAGAAACACAAAATCAAGTAACTTTAGCCTCTGCATTGCAGATGAATAGATCTTGCAAATCAATGAAGAAGCTAATTCACCAGAAATCTGAAATGTTAAAAGAAAATTACATTCTCCCAGGAAAAATTTTTTTACCTATAAAAGTTTAAAGAATGAGTATCTGTCAAAACACTTAACACAAACCCTGTACAACAGATGCATCAAAGATTCTAAGAGAGACATTGTAGACCTAGAAAAGTTAGTCTTTTTTTATTATTTTGTTTTGTTTTCTCAAGACAGGGTTTCTCTGTAGCTTTGGAACCTGTCCTGGAACTCGCTTTGTAGACCAGGTTGGCCTCAAACTTGAACTCTGCCTCCCAAGTACTGGGATTAAAGACATGCACCACTACCACCCAGCTTAGTTTCACTATTTTTAATGAACAATATTAGCTATAAAGATATAACATTCATAAAGCAGTGGTTCTCAACCTTCCTAAAGCTGCAACCCTTTAGTACAGTTCCTCATGTGTGGTCACCCCCAATCATACACTATTTTCATTGCTACTTAGTAACTGTAATTTTGCTACTATTGGAGTTGTAATGTAAATATCTGATTCCCAAGGATCTTATGTGACCCCATTGAAGGGCTGGCTATTCAACAGTCTCCCAGGGGTTGTGACTCTCAGATTGAGCAGTACTGCTTTAGAGAATAGTGTAAAAATATACTTTTTCTTATCAATTTTGGTTACAAATCATTTTTTTAAAGCAAGAGAATGCTAACCTTTCACCTAGCAGAACTGCCAGTCGTTTTAAATGCCATCTATTAAAAACATCCCTCACATCCAAACTGATTATATCTTTTTTTTTTTTCCAGAGACAAGATTTCTCTGTAGCTTTGAAGTCTGCCCTGGAAGTAGCTCTGGTAGACCAGGCTGGCCTCAAACTCAGAGATCCGCCTGCCTCTGCCTCTCAAGCGCTGGGATTAAAGACATGTGCCACCACCGCCTGGCCAAAACTGATTACAACTTAAGCTACCAGATGAGTGTCTTAAAATTCAGACTTCGTTTCCAAATATCTTTTATAGTCTAATATAGTCTAAGACCCAGTTCTGTACTCAAAGGAAACTAGGCAATAAGTCCCTCAACTCAGCATTGTACTTTGTTTAAATCAAATTTCAAAGGATTTTACGTTTGCATTTGATTCTCTATATTATAAATGTACTTTTATTGTTCAACACTGATATACTTTTTATTATTAGCCCAAACTTTAAAAATGACGAAGACATTTATTAGGCTGAACTACATATTTCACCAATGATAAGCATTCTCACTGGACAGAAAATAATTTTCCTCTAATGGCAGAAATTAACAACCTTAGTTTTCTTAAATGAAATAAAATTGTATCAGGTCTCAGGTTTAAACTGATACTACATTATCCACTGGTAACTTTTGTCAAGATACCTTCTTGGTCTAGCATGGTGTAGTATGAATAGGGAAGAAACAAATATAAATTGCTAAATTTAAAAAAATGGCTATTGCATTAGTTTCTAAAGTATTAAAAGAGATTCATAGAGTAAACCCTACTTTAGTTCCATTACAAATTGCAAAAGCTCAATCCTGCCAGGCACTTGGGAAGCAGAAGCCGGTCAATCTCTGTGAGTTTAAGGCTATCCTGGTCTAAGGGGCAAGTTTCATGACAGCCAGGGCTACACAGAGAAGATCCATCTCCAAAAGATAAAAAAAAAAAAAAAAAACCCAATCATTGAAAAGCTCTCACAGGACAAATCATCCAGTAATAGAAAGAAAGAAAAGTAAAAACCAGATGTGTGTGTTTATGTTAGTAGAAAATCCAATGCCTCCAATGCCTTAAGCATCTGTGGCCATTAAAAGCCACATCAATAGTCTAGTGAGTAACTGTGGATTATAATCTTTTCACTGATATTTAGCAAACAAAACACTGAGACAAAAAAAATCTGATACAAAATACTTTTATGTATTTTTGTTGTCTGTTAAACCATTAGGTTATCTGAGTCTATAATATCTTTAACAATAATTACATTACTCTTTTTTGAGGCAAAGTTTTGCAACAGCCCCTTGGCTGTCCTATAATTCACTCTATAGATCCTGCCCCTGTTTCCTGAGTGCTGGGATTAAAGGCATGTTCAGGTGATAGCATTTCTCTGGTGGAAAGAATTCAAATATTTACACCTAAACATAGGTGGCCAGTCGTGGTCCAAGCCTTCACAGGCCCTTTAATCAAGATTTCTGTGTCGTGTTTATCAAATCCCTTTAAACACCTAGTAAAAACAATGACTGCTACTCACCATTGTTTTGCGCTTTGTTTGTTTGTTTTTCAAGACAGGGTTTCTCTATGTAACAGCCCTAGTTGTCCTGGAACTAACTCTGTAGAAAGAGATCCGCCGGACCTCTCCCTCTTCTGGAATTAAAGGCTGGTGCCACCACCGACCAGGAGATCTCATTATAGATGGTTGTGAGCCACCATGTGGTGCTGAGAACTGAACTCGGGACCTCTGGAAGAGCAGTCAACGCCCTTAACCTCTGGTCATTGATCCAGCCCCTCAGTATTGTTTTTTAATGAACATATTTGAAGATTTTACAGTCACTAACAACTATACTTAATATTACAACACTGAAGTTCACGTTGGTTTCTATACTAGAAGGCCAAAAAGCCCCCAAAATTAAACCATTTGGAACATCAGCCAATAGTATTGCTTACCGCATTAAGAAACTTTAAGATAACTTGACTCAGTTTCACACAGGGTGGCAAAAACTCACATAGCAATTATCAAAAAATGCTGGCATAAAATTCCATGTAAATGTAGCTTATGATGCTTTCACTATTTTAATACTTTTTCCAATTACTAAGAAAGCACCTGTATAACAAAATAATTTTCAGAAGAGCTTGATATCTCAAATTAATGTATATTCTCAATTGCAAATAAAGTCTGGGAAATTAAATTTTTTAAAAAGTAACAATCTTCAACACTGAGACAGAAAAGTAGCAAGGGGGAATGTACTAAAAAGGGAAAGTCAGCAGATAAGTTATCAAGCTAAGACATAAAATGTCATGTTTTTTACCAACTTTCTACAGCTCAGATTTAAGCCAATATTCCTCTCTCAATCCTACCCTGTGAATGACTATAAATAACAATCTTCACCGGAATTTTTCAAAATTGAAAATGTCCTGAAGATGGGCAGGCATAAGGTGTCAAAGCTACATTTTACTTACGGTAAAAGGCCAAGTTAGCCTAACAGTCCCAGGGAATTACCTCCGTTTTTACTGTACTACTCATCTGCTTGTCCTTTCCCACTACTTTTCTTAAGATAGAAATTCACTTCTACCGAGACCCTTCAAATCAACTGCGTTGGTATACAGTCCTGCACTAAAAGCATAAAACACATAAAACGGACTTAAGTAATCTCACCGTGTGGCCCAGAATGTCTAAATATTAAAGCCAAAAACTGAGTGGGTGTGGCTCGATTTTTTTGGGGGGGGGGGGCTAGGCGGGGCGGCTGTTAGGTCTCTGCCCTCCCCCTCTGCTTTCGCTTTGTGCTCACAATGCAGCTCCTGTACAGCGTTTCCCTCTCCCGCAGCCGCCGCCATGTTAGATACTCCATGTGCCGAGAGACCCGGAGGCAGTCTACTCCAGTCTAATCTAGATCCACCCTCGAAGGCGTGCAATCGAAGATGAGCCCCCGGCCCCTTTAGTATGCTGCAGCAGCAACAAAATAAATTAAAATTAAAAGTCGCTGCAAAAAAAAAAAGAAAAAGAAAAAGAAAAAAAAAAACACCTCGTGACTAGGCTGAGCGTAACGTTCGGAGCACCCAGACAATCGAAACAAAGGGGGAAATGTAGGGAGCCCATCAGAAGGGGGTGGGGGTACCCAAGCGAAGCCCGGCCCGAAACGGGCCTGACGGGCCTGCGACCCTAGTTCAGGGCTGACAGACATCTCTCCCTGGGAAGAGGGGCCAGAGCCATTCCGCCGGCCTCGAGGCGTGTTAAGGGGCAAACGCCACTGCTACAGGGCATGGGCCTCGAGGCGATCGGCTGAGCAGGTACTCTGTTTCTTCCCCGTGGCCTCCGGTATGGCCCGGCAAGGGGCCCCAACACCTAGGCAGCCCGTTACCGGGAGGTAAGGCCCGATGCGGCGTGATGTGAGTAACCGAGGCCTAGAGGCAGCGCCGCGTTCGTGTCAGGTGACAGGCACCTCCCCGAGGCGCCCGTTTTCTGGGCACCAAACTCCGTCCACCGCGGAGACAGGCGTGCCGGGGTCACAAGACCTCCCTCTCCGTTATCTCCTCGCACCTTTTTTTTCTCCAGGTTCCGAAGTTTCTTGTCGATCACCCCGAGAATCTGCTTCATGGCTTCGGTCTGGACCGCGCCGGTGCCGGTTGCCGGGTGCTGAGAAGCCGGCGCAGCTGCCCCGGCCGCCGCCTCACTCCCGGAGGACCCGGACGGCGGCGGCGGTCCCGACGACTTGCTGCCGCTTCCGCTGTGGCTGGTGGCCGAGGGCATCTTTAGACCGACAAGAGAGGAGAAAAAAGCGGGAGGGAAAGACAAGAGGTGGCCTCCAGCAGCCCCCCCCCCCCCCCCGCCTCTCTTGCTCTTTCTCTCTCTCTCTTTC